CCAAGTCAAATCAAATGTAGACCGTTTGCTTCTGTTTTGACTGTAAATACTGTCGCAGCACTCTGACAACTGTTATAGCTAACGTTACCTCTTTGCAGCAACATGGTTGGCATTATAGTAATGTGAAGTAGAGCCAAGACGATAAACCTCTTTTTCAGATAATTTGTAATGGAAATTTGCTTCCAACTACCAGACTTGATTGTGTGCATCAGTATCACAGGTGTGCTGGAAAATTTCACCATGCAAATGCTGCATTAATTTTATTTGTTTTATTTTGCTTTTTAGTATGGTTTAAAATGACAACTCTAATCAAGATGCAATGAAAATAATCCCTTTTCTACCCAGCAGTAGAATCAGCGCCATCTAATTTCAGGTCTAAAAAGCCAACAACAGATTCTACTATGTCGTAATATGTATGTAGGAACACCTTCACTTTTGGAACAAAAAGTAACACCATGGTTGTTGAAGCCATTGTTGAAGATGCTGAAGCATCATATTCTGTACATTAAAGGTATATTTATGACTATAAGTCCATGAAGGTCAAAGTGTGTAATGCTCTTAGAAATGGCAATGAACAAGCAAACAAACAAGGGCTCAAATTAGGTCTCTACTGGCCTAAATAGGGATGTTAAATGTTAAAGCTCACAATAGGATTATTTTTTTTTTTATTGTAACACAGTATTTGTGGAAAGAATACCAAAATTAAAATGGCAAAGTTTCATCTGAATTTATCATGACTCATTCAGCAACTTACATTCGACTAGTGGGGTCAAGGTAAATGACCTTATATTACTGCATGCTAGATGAAAACACATTATTCAAGCCCCTCATATGGAGTATCATACATGAAGGAGGATTGGTTGTTGGCCTTGATTTGTAGTCGCATGAGGTGGTTCTTTAACAATCATCAATTTGACCATGAACTTGTCTTTAAACCAAAATACCTTAGAGTCAAATATCAAGCTATCTATCAGGCAGCTAAGACTTATGGGAAAGTTAGATAATGGAGTGATCCCCCACAAAGATGAACATCAGATCTCAATTAATAGTGAAACTCTCCAATAGAACTGGACATAAATGCATAGTATACCCAGAAAACCTTCATATGGAATAATAGACAAAAATTCTGCTACAGCAATGCCACAATGTGCGACTAGCCACATGTGACTACTTTAAATTATGGCAGCCAAAAATTGCATAAAAAGCTATCAAATCATGCAATGTATTTTCTTCCTTTTTTGAAGTTATATTTTAATCACTTTGGAACCTGGTAGGGACAGATGTGTTATATGTAAAACACTGAACTCGATAGTGGGTGTACGTTTATCACTTTTGATATTACATGTTGAAAATTCATGTGGGGATAATATCAGTACCAAAAAGCACTCATTACAATAGAGACATGGGGAGCTACAGCTGTCATTACCAACATGCTGTAAATATACAACTGCATTTTTTTCTGCAGCATAGGTTTTTCCATCATGTTGTGCTCTCTGCGTGCTACCCTACAGCACCAGTCTGCAGAGCATTCTGTTGTGAGAACACCTCCCCAGCAGAGAATATCCCACTGTGAAGTGAATGTGTGAAAGACACCTATGGTGAAACTCTACCTAATGCCTTGCATATATTCTCAAGGCATTCTTGAGTTCATGTATGAAACCATCTAATATTGTGCACTCTTCTAATATACCCTTCATCTTCCAAGCACTTTTCTTTAAATAGATTTTTTCTTGCATTTTAAGAAGTTTAAAGAAATACCTTAAGACTAAAGTGGTTATCATGCATTCCTGTGTTATGTTTATAAAAGAATGAGAAGTTGTGTACAACGACAGTCGCTAGTTATAGTACCTTGAAAAAATCCTAAAGCCCCATTAACTAACAAATATTGTCACATTATGGCCGTAAATGTGTGTGTTTTGTTGGGATTGGGATAAGCTAACAAAACTGGGCATATACAGGTGAAGTGGAAGGGTAACAACAAATGCTTTTTTATTATTATTTACAGATATCTGATAATTGTACAATATATTCCAATTCAGCTCCATCCACTGTGAAACCTCTACATGATATTTAGCATGACCAGTTACAATTAGAAGTCAGCTAACTAGTAAATAACCAATATGTATAAATGATCTAACCTCATAATAAGTACCTCTGCTCTTTGAATGATGCAGAGGTTTGTTTAAAAAACATTAGTGAAAAAAACACCATAAGGGGAAAAACCTAGAAACACACCTATCGAGTCATTTATAAAGTTCAATATTCATTATCTCCAAATGGAGAGAATGCACCATCTGCAAACCAATCAGGACAGGGCTGTCGGCCTAAACTGACAACCAATCAAGGAGAGCATAAAAGCTGAAGCAGTCACCAGTTACATGCAGGCTTTGGGGTAGCCTCAGATATCTATCGATTAGGTGGGAAAATTCTTCAACAGGTAAAAAAACAGCTTAAATGTTTGTATTACATCTCAGATGTTGTATTGCCATATAAAAGTGCACTGCAAAATGATCTAGAAATAAGTAAGACTTTCTTAAATTAAGTGTATTTACCTTTGAATTGAGTGGGTAAATAAGATGATTTGCTAATGGAATGAGTATTTTTACCTTTAAAATATGATAAGTAGATAATAGGCACTTGAAATAAGAAAAATCAGTTGTTGTTTCTTATTTAAGATGTAAATTGTCTTTTTCCATTGGCAAAGTGTCTGACTTACCTCCTAAATTCAAGAAAAAATAATCATCCCAAACACAACATACTCACCAGCTGTGTTTGCAGTGTCCATTAAATTGTGTAAATTCTAAATAAAATAAAATAAAAACCTTTACTGGATCATGCCAATTAAAAAAAAAACTGTATTAATGTTTTTTACAATTCCAACATTAATACAATTAAAAATTTTATTATTGTTGTGTTTGGATGAGGTGTTTTCTTGGCTGAATTGAAATTGGAGTATTGCTCTAAACTCCAGTGTATATAGAGTATTTCTTACACATCATATGACTATTATCAACAAAAAAAGATAAGGAAGGTGACAGAAAGAAGCAGGGTTGCTCAGCATGTTTTTAAAATGTATTCACGTATGGTCTTAACTACATTTAATTGAATGGAAGGACAAATGTTTGTTTTTTGAAATCAGCAGAATATAAACAAAGTTTTGCACATGTTATAAATGGAAATGCAGTTAATTTGACAAATGGTGGTGGCAGTAGCATGTTGTAAAAATGCCTTTCTGCAGCAGGGAGATGTAAACTGATCAGATTTGGCTGGAAGATGGAGAGAGCTAAATAGAGTAAAATCCTGATAGACAGGCTGTTAGAGGCTGCAAAACATTTGAGGCAACGCTTGATGACAGACCAATAATGGAGATGATTAGAACAAAGAATATTTTTTTGTTACAATGGGTGTGTGAAAGGAAAGTTCTATTGAGAATTTGTGGCACGATTTAAATGTGCATTGCACATGTTAAAAAGGGAAGTATTGAACATCCCCTTATATTTGTCTGATATGTAAAATTATTTATTTTTTATTTACTGCAGTTGCCTCCTTGATGTCCATTAGTCAGTTCATGAGAGAGTGACTCAAAATCGTTGGGCATGCGCATGGGTTTGACGCCCTGCACAGTCTTTACCTGGCTACTGGTTTGAGTCGCCGCTACCACTCACGCATTATGTGCTCAAAACACAGGGTGTTACCAATAACATCAACAGATAGCTGTCATCGCCACTACCGAGAAGCCCAAACACATGATTGCAGTGATGCAGATTTTTTATTTCAGGTCAATTGTCTTTAAGAAATGTAATTGATTAGAAATAGGAGAGATTTGACATTTTCAAAGTAGTCCATTACAAACAAAGCAGCAAGGATTAAGAGTTAAAGGATTACATGATATAGGATATTCGGATAAGTCTGTTTTTCTCTATGCTGAAAATGGTTGTGTACTGAACATGAATTTATAAGACAATGAAACCCTTAGTGACTGGTTGCAGTGCTATGTGACATTGATACACATTAACATTTTTTAACTATCTTGTTTTGTGTCGCAAGCCCACATGTGAACATCAGGATGTATGAGCTTAAAATTTCATTAGCACAAATTTCACCTTTCGCTTAACAGAAGGACAGTAAGCAATTGTTGCCTCATCACAGAATTTCTGTTGGAAATAAATGGAGATGAAGCTACCTGCTAGATGAGCACTTTAATGAGAGAACACGACCGACTGTTTCTGCAGATGAATCATATAGGAACAACCAAAATGCACCTCAAACCTCATCACAGATTCTACACAAAAGTTAGAAAATAAAAACTTTGTCTAGTGTGGCAACAAGGGATGAAAAGGGAGTCTGATCGGGTAAGAGAAGAGACCAGAGTACATTTGGTGGCAGTTTTCAACAAGGGAACTCATCTCTGCCCTGGAAAAGAAGTTGGATTTAACTTACCTCATAAGTTAAATCTGTACTGTCACAGCTGCAGACTGCAATGCTGTTCCTATTTCCCTGTGCAGGTGAAACACTGCGTTCATTTGAACTTGTTTGACAAAAGGGACAGACGTCTGAAACATCTCTGAAGCTTGTGATATGTTCCTTCAAAGCAACTCTGTATATTTCAATCCAAGTATTAGCTTAATTGGAGACATTAAATGATAGCTGAGGTCAATATATAGCACTTAGTGCATATTGATGCTCCATGCAGGCTTCCCTTCTCAAAAACTTGCCTATGTAACTTGAGAGGGTCGCATCCATCACTGAATGAGTCATGTGACCTAGGATGCTACTTTACAGCACTACCTGAATATGAGAGCCATCTTGTGTCAGATATGACATGTACCTCATCAGACATACACATTTTGGTTCTTTGACATAGGATGTAATCCAAAGCGATGAATGTGACCTTGTCTTTGCACTTATGTTCATGACTTCTCAGTTCGCTGGACTAAAGAAATCTAGATTCCAAAACATAGTGGGAAACTGTTTAATTTTGAGACCGTGTGGTGTTGCCGGTGCTCTTCCGGTAGGGAGGTAAACCAAATCTAGCACCCCTGTTTGCTTGAATGTTCATAAAACAGTTGTGGTTCTTAAATACTACCCATTTGGTCTGTGTCAAACATTTTTTAAATTAAATTATATGATAAAGTATGGTTTAGAAATTAAAAAGTTAGAGACATCTCATACTTGATCTCAATTGTGTTTAAAACACTAGGGCAAAGCAGCAATCACTTATGTGCTGGTTTAAAAAATGCACATGATTGTTTTTAGATAAGAAAAACAAAAACAAACAAACCAAAAAACAAGAATTTGCCTTATATACTTTCTGTATTGTAATGGTCTATTACACTAAATCTTTGTAGAGGTTTCTGATTGCACCAACCCATGGGTGGTTCTAGACAGGGGCCAATGGGGCCCAGTGCCCCTGAGGATCATGTCCTGTCCCCTATTATGGCCCCTGTACTGAATACATAATACTCAAAGAAATTCTAATGATGATATGCACTGGAACAGACATGGTTACTGATATGTCCTTTGGATCTATTTCATTCTTTCTCTTTACAAATTCTGTTTAACTAATTTTACTATTTAAAAACAATAAAGTGATAATGGTATTGATAGAGGATCCCAGTTTTCATCTGCTTAATGTTTTTTTTCCTAAACAAATAAAAATAAATACTTTTTTACAGCTGAATATATCTATCTTTATTTAGTTCTAATTCAGATTCCAAAGATACCTTAACTTAAGATACCTTAACTTAAATTAAGTCAAAATATGTAGAATTCACAAATTATGAAGGTATATTGACCTAATAATTTTATTAATTAAACATAACTGAATAGAAATTTAACTTTATGCAGATATCTTAATATATTTGAATCCCTTTCCCTGTTTTTTTTATTTCATGCTTTTCTGTGCCCCCCGTGAAAACAACGCTTGCCCCCTTCTGTCCCCCTGGTACATTTGGTCAAGAACCACCACTGCACCAAACAAAATACGAAAAACGTCAAGGGATATGAATACTTTGGCAGGTCCTTATATGTACAAGGCACAGAAGCGCATGTACTTATTGCGGAGGATGAGAAGAGCACACCTACCCCCACCCATCCTCACCACCTTCTACAGAAGCACCATAGAGAGCGTTCTGACCAGCTGTCTCACTGTGTGGTGTGGAGGCTGCAGTGCCTCAGACTGGAAGAAAGTAAGGAGAGTGATGAGAACAGCAGAGAGGATCATCAGGGCTTCTCTTCCCTCCATAAAAGACATTTCATCCCAGCGCTGCGTGTCCTGAGCCCGTAACATCATAAATGACCCCTCAGACCCCCACCATGGACTGTTCTCCCTGCTGCCCTCTGGGAAGAGACTTTGAAGCATTGGATGCAGGTCCAGCAAAGAACGGTTTCTTCCCCACTGCCATTAGACTGCTGAGTGTTTTGTAAAATGGGTTATTTTATTGCATTTTATTATATTTTATCATTATATAAAAAAGAACTGTAAATTTACAGTCATATGATTATATTACTGTTTATATATATATATATATATTTACTATTTTTCAAGGCTGCAATTTTAAAAAAGATGAAACTCTCCAGAGAGCTGTTTCCAAACGAAATTTCTTTTTGTGTACACTTGAGTAAACAAAATGAAAAAATCTGTCTAATTACAAGAAATATATATATATATATAGGTACGAATGTTTTGTGGTTTATAATAACATCTTAAAAATGGAAAATGAAGTGATTATCAAAAGGAGTTGTGGCTGGCCTATTACTTATTCATTTAACCACTGGGTGAATCAACTCTCCTTTAATCCTTCCTCCCAGTCTAACTGAAATTTCAAACCACTTGGGCTTGGCCTCTGCACATCCGTTGGTGACCGAGCTTAACGCACCGTTTCCTTTATTGTAGCCCCCCCTCCCACAACAATGAAGTGTGATATTTGAAAAAAGACAGATCAGCCACCGGTGAACTACGACCCACCAATCATCTGTAGTCTGTACCCACGGCGGCTTTTGAATCCCTCCTCCTCTTCCCACCTCTTCAAATCCATTGGCTGCCACAGGAGTAGCGACAATGTTTAATGCACCATGCGGTGTCCGGGAGTCCAGTCAGTGAGAGGAAGCGCTTGCTGTGCTCAGGGCAGTGTTACGTGCTGGAAATAGTAACTAATGACTGGGCTTGTGTAGTTAAGAAAAATCTATTTTATTTTTCTGACAACAGCAAGGAGACTCCTGGCAGGATGCGGCGTTGCTGCTGACCACTTCCACAGCAGCTGTCCGTCTGTCTGTGCGCACTTTGGCTGGGGGACGACGCACAAGGACAAATTGAGGAACCAGTAACTCTGCGCTGGAAAACAACATCGCTCGTCCTTTTAAGTATCCACTGTGGACATAGGCTACCTTTACAAACATTTGGATTTTTTTTTCCTTTCACACAGAATATTTTAAAACAGTTTTCCGTCCTGGAAGAAGAGTGAGTCACTGCAGGCAGAAGGAGAGCCGCTGCATCCTAATCAGACAGCGGAGAGGACTTCAGCTCATTGACATTTCAGTCATACTTTGGAGCACTTTTTTTCATTTCTACTGCGCTGTACTGTAGAGTTTGTGTGTATAGGAGGCTTTTGGCTTCCCTGCCGCACACGGAGGAGAAGGAGGATACGGGTGGTACCTTTTGTGAAGTGGAAAATAAGCAATCTCTTTACGCTGGAATTGACTGTTTTTAATTTTTATTCTGTCCCTTTCTTTTGGAACCGACGGTAAGATCTGCTTTTTTTGTTATTTTTATTCTTTATGTCTCATTTACCTTCCTTATTTTATTATTATTTTTTATCTGAAGCCCTCACTTACGTTCATTTCAAACCTGCGTTATTCCAGAACCTTTATTTTCCGTTCATACGGACGCAACAGCTTCTCTCAAGGACTGTGGAGCGACAGAGAGAAAAACAGAGTTGTGGAGACGGGGAGCAGCAGTGGAGAGAATTACACGGCTGTGCTGAGATGTTGGCAGCTCATTTCTGACTTTTTAGAAGGCTCATTTTAAATATCCGGATTATGCGGATTTGTTAATGCGTGTAAGAAGATCATTTTATCTTCACTCCTTCCAATAGCCCACACAATAGGCCATCAACAGTTTTACTCCTGCGGCGTTTCCGCATTATTAAAGTTGCCCTGTTACACTTCACTCTGCATCCTCAACATATGCATGGATAATTATCTCTCTAGGGTCAGATGCTGCATACATACCTCATATATAATCGAAACTACCTGCAGAATCTTGGATTTGATTATATATGTATAGTCTTCAAGGAGGATGCTTTCTGTCCGTGTATCTGTGAGGCTGAGCGTCTTTCCAAGGTTAACTAATTAACAATCTTCTCTCATAATTGTGAAGATGAATTACACATGAGCCGTGTCTCATTTTTGTCTTGGCAGTTGCACTGATTTTATCAGATTTCTCTCTGGCAGAGCTTGTAGCTCACTCTCTTTTCTAATTGATTTCCCTATAACATGTTTTTTTTTTCTTCTTTTCTTTTCTTAGGTAATATATGTGAAGACTTACAATGACAGTTCTGTTGGAGCCTGGATCTTGATTATTGTTGAGATGAGTCTGGGTGCTCTGCTGAATATAAATTAGGCATTCAGTACCACAGATTGCTTGCTGAGGAGAGAAAGCAACAAAGCAAAGACAATCTACAGCGACAAATGTCAAGTCATCACATGATGAACTGGACTCTTTTGTTTATCCGTTGTGATAGAGATACCAAATCTGAAAAGAATATCAACAGGTCACAGATTGAATAATCGACGCAAAGGTTTAAGCAGTTTTTACTTAGTGGAGATGCATCTTTCTATTTTCTTTTTCCTCCTTTTGTGGGCTCAAGCCTTGACATTAAAAAACTTGAATTACTCTGTCCCGGAGGAACAGGGTCCAGGAACAGTGATTGGGAATATTGCCAAAGATGCCAGGCTTGGACTCGAGCAGATTGGGCAGGGAGGACAGGGAAAGAAAGCCAACTTTAGGGTGTTGGAAAACTCAGCGCCTCATCTTATCGATGTGGACCCCCAAAGCGGACTGCTGTACACAAAACAACGCATTGACAGGGAAACATTGTGTAAGAGAAACCCCAAGTGCCAGCTCTCCATGGAGGTGTTTGCCAACGATAAGGAGATATGTATGATAAAAATAGATATTCAGGACATCAATGACAACTCACCTGTTTTTCCTTCTGATCAAATTGATATTGACATTTCTGAAAATGCAGTGCCGGGGACACGCTTTCCTCTAACCAGCGCACATGACCCTGATGCTGGGGAAAATGGCCTGAAAACCTATCAAATAACTCGTGATGACTACAATCTCTTTTCTTTGGAGGTAAAATCCAGAGGGGACGGGACCAAATTCCCTGAATTAGTCATTCAGCGTCCACTGGACAGAGAAGAGCGAAGCCATCACACCCTCATTTTGTCAGCTACTGATGGTGGTGAATATCCTAGATCAGGTACAATGCAGATAAATGTTAAAGTTATTGACTCCAATGATAATAGTCCGGTTTTTGATCAGTCATCATATGTAGTAGAAATTCCTGAAAATTCTCCTCCTGGAAAAGTCTTAATTGATTTAAACGCCACAGACCCTGATGAGGGAAACAACGGTCAAATTGTTTATTCTTTTAGTGGCTATGCACCAGAGAGAATTCGTGAGCTTTTCTCAATAGATTCTAGAACAGGGGTTATAAAGATTCAGGGAGAAATTGACTATGAAGAGAGCTCTGTCATTGAGATTGATATCCAGGCAAAGGATCTAGGTCCCAATCCAATCCCTGGCCATTGTAAAGTCACCGTTAAAGTGCTAGACAGGAATGATAACTGGCCATCTATAGGCTTTGTGTCTGTGAGACAAGGAGCCATCAGTGAGGCGGCACCCCCAGGCACTGTCATTGCTCTGGTCCGTGTCACAGACAAGGACTCTGGCAGGAATGGGCAACTTCAATGCAGGGTGCTTGGTAATGTCCCTTTTAAACTCGAGGAGAACTATGATAACTTCTACACAGTGGTTACAGACAGGCCCCTCGACAGAGAGGTGCAAGATGAGTACAATGTCACTATTGTTGCCAAAGACAATGGGATTCCTCCTTTAAACTCTACAAAATCTTTTACAGTGAAGATTCTTGATGAGAATGATAACATTCCTCGCTTCACCAAGTCTGTATACCTTCTTCAGATTCCCGAAAACAACATCCCTGGGGAGTATCTAGGTTCAGTTTTGGCACATGACCCAGATTTGGGCCAGAATGGCACTGTGTACTATAGTATCATTAACTCCAACATCAGTGGCGGTGATGTCAACACATATGTTAATGTGAATGCAGCTAATGGAGCCATCTATGCTGTACGATCTTTTAACTATGAGCAAATCAAGTATTTTGACTTCAAAGTGCTTGCTAAAGATGCAGGATCTCCACATTTAGAGAGCAATGCTACTGTGCGCATTAGTGTTTTGGACGTCAACGACAACATCCCTGTCATAGTCTTGCCTCTTCTTCAGAACGATACAGCTGAAATCCACGTTCCACGAAATGTTGGAGTTGGTTACATTGTAACAACAGTGAAAGCATTAGATAATGACTATGGGGAAAGCGGAAGGCTCACCTATGAAATCTCAGATGGCAATGAAGAGCACCTCTTTGATATTGATCCTGTTACTGGGGAGGTCCGAACCGCCCACCCTTTTTGGGATGATGTAAATCCAATCGTTGAGCTGATCATCCGTGTATCAGACCACGGTAAGCCAACTCTAACTGCTGCTGCCAGACTCATTGTCAAAGCCTCCAATGGGCATGCTTCAGATGGACTTCCACACATAAAAGACAATCAAAATTGGGACATTTCCTTGCCACTTATTGTGACTCTAAGCATCATATCTATCATGCTCCTAGCTGCCATGGTGACCATAGCAATCAAGTGCAAGCGGGAAAACAAGGAAATTCGTACCTATAATTGTCGCATAGCAGAATACTCCCACCCACAGCTTGGAAAAGGCAAGAAGAAGAAGATCAACAAGAACGACATCATGCTTGTACAGAGTGAAGTTGAAGAGCGGGATGCCATGAATGTGATGAATGTGGTAAGCAGCCCTTCCCTGGCCACTTCACCCATGTACTTTGACTATCAGACACGCCTGCCACTCAGCTCACCAAGGTCAGAGGTCATGTACCTTAAACCCACTGCCAATAACCTCAGCGTGCCCCAAAGCCACGTGGGATGCCACACCAGCTTCACAGGCCCAGTCACCAGCACTACAGACACACCTACTAACCGCATGTCGATCATACAGGTAAGAGAAAGTGCATCTTTTCCTTCCCTTTTGTGCACATTGGAAGCCCTACAAAGGTCCCAATCCCACATCAGCATTATCTCTTTTTTTTTTCTTTTTTTTTATGAAAAAAAAATTGAAAGTGGCACTGTTAGCCAGGGGCTCTAAGAGGTAAAAAAAAAAAAAAAACAACCAGTAAAAAAACAAACACATGCACCCTAAAATTGGATTTCAACCTGCTTTTCAAAGAAAATGTCATTTAAACCACAAAAAAATGTCTTAAAAGCAAACAAATATTTTTTATTTTTATTTTTTATTCCTTTTGTGGGTGAAAAAAAATGCATTTACTTGGGGAAAGAAGAAGCTCAAATAAGACTTTATCCATCTTTAATCAATGATTGCTTCAAGTTCAATATTTTATGAACTTCAACAGTTTTTTTCACACTTATCCTATGGGCTTGGATTCCTAGAGATTATGAGATTTTACTTATTTTCTTGACTATATTACATGTCTATGTGGCAAGTAGCAGGGCACATAAGCCTTCAATGTGATAAGTTCTTAGAGTCTTTGGCCTTAAGCCCATTAAAAGTCTGTTGCGGTCGACAAGGATTAAACCCAGTTTAAGCCAGTGCGGTGTTTCCACAAAACCTATTAGGCAGTGACAACAAAGCTAGTCGTTATTTAGTCTTTTTTTACTGTTGTTACAGTTATGATAGAAATCGGCCTCCTCTAATTCTAGTTTTGTTCAGTGTTTCTATCTTAATCTGGGTTGATCTTCTATTGTTACCATTAAACACCCTGATATTCTGTTTATAAGTTTTCCGTGTTCATTATGTTTATCTAGATATATCTATCAACGCAGATTAGATATGATAGTAGTGTTGGATCCAATTATTCTTCTTCTCTCCGCTTGCATCCTAATGGACTCTTTGGTAGTCCAGGTTAAGCTGTTTTTTCTCAGATGGAGTTTTGGATGATGATCAGATGTGACATATTCCCAAGAAGGCACTTGTCTGTTGTTCTCACTCTCATTCTTTGCTCTCTATTATGAACCAGCTGCAAAGGCCAAAGGTCAGCGCAAAGCCCGTTGATGCTTGCTATTATAAGGGATTAAATCATTGTTGGTTGATTCATTTTCCCTGCTAATCTAGATGTCATGTTGAATTGGACTGCGATAGGCTGTCGCAAATCTGTTTATGAGCGTTATTCTCAGGCTATTTAAGTAAAAAAAAGAAGAGGGGTATCAACACACTCAATTGTGTCTTGTTTAAGGAAGGTTTTCATCAATGCTTGGGTACCTTATTGCATTATTCAGTAGGAACCTGTGTAAAGGGGGATGGCCTGAGGCATTAGGTTTCTTCTGAAGCTGTACAAAAGCATATCACTGTCCTCCCTTCTTCTTCCTCTAATTTCCTCTCTGTATTTGCGTGGACAGTAAGTAACCTGAGTCAGGAGAGTGTCTATGGGAAAAAATGTCAAAAACAAAGACAGAATTCCCTTTCTATTGATCTTTAGGCATCTGAGCTCATGTGTCACTATGGTTGCCATGATGGTAAGGCTAAATAGGAAAAACATATGTAGATAAACAGGATGAACATATTCCATCTTCACAAGAGTACCTTGTGCTGTCTTCATCTGCTTCATTAGCTGCCTTCAACTTGTGGTCCTTGTCTGTAGAGCTGGTTTACTCTAATAATGTTTTAAAGTGGTGCACCGGCAGGCTAGAATGGTGTTTAGCTTGAAGAGAGGGATGATATAAACAAATCAGAGGAGCTCCACTTGCCTGATTATTCTCATCACCTTGCAAGGACATTACAGCGTGGAGAACATTGTGTCATTTGTAAACACAATTCCTGAGAAAAGATGGATTTTATGCAGTGAACACTAATTCCGCTTAAGGCATTGAAGGAAATGACCCTTTATGGAATCAATAATGAAACCAATATGAAACTAAATTTCTTGGGCTGTAGGATGAAGGGATTGTAATATTTTTGCTCTAAACAGTCTGCTCTTAAAGTGACCGAAATGGATTTAGATTTGCCAAACTGGAAGTCACTGATGGACTACTTTAGACACCTCATTTTCAAGTCTTTATTGTAAAAATGTAATACTACTTTGTCAACTAAAAGCTGAATTACTAATGAAACTTCAGAAACAGGCTTATTATACGATGTACTTAGTACAGTAAATATTTTTTCTAAAACAACAACCTTTTTTTTTTTTAATCATAAGATATGAATTTCTCAGTAACAAAAGGGGATGGTTCAAAGACTATAAAAGCTGCCTTTAGGTGGCGGCATTCTGCCTTTTGTGGGGTGGGATTGATGTGAGAATTGCAAGGAAAATGGGGCTCCAGTATCTGCTGACTTGAATCTGGTCACTTTATGAAAAGACTTCTTCATCTCTATAAAAGAAATGCTAGATGTGTATTCACTTACAGATTTTTTTTTTCACAAGCAGCCTCTCTTCCAGCACTTTTCACTAACAGCCTTGATTTTCTCTGAATTTCTGACAATGAATCCATGATAGTGATAGTTCTTTTAGGATCACATATTCATAGAACAAAGAAATCACAGTGACAACTGAACCATGTTTTTGAATATTCTCCAAATAACTGATGTTCATAATCCTGTTCAGTGAAACTAAAATGTGCAGGAC